TCCCTCTGGCATCTCTATATGGATTTATTTTAATTTTTCCTGTTGGAGAGTTCTGTGCTTTCTTTCAGTCATAGAAAACACTTGAGCTGTACCCATGGAAAGTGTCTGTGTTCCCTAGGTGGAGCTCAGGTTAGATGTGTGTTGTGAGCCCCTCTCTCTCCCATCCGCATCGCTGCATTGTGTTCTGAGAAACTGTTCAAAACTAGCTTCCTGTTCTCTGGATCACCCTCAGTGTTAGCCCGAACCTCTCCTGTGATTTCTAGGAACTCTGGGTTCACTTTCTCAAAGGCACTCAGTTTGCTCTGCCTCTCACATGGTAGGCGACTGTCTGCATGTCAAGTCTGTGTCCCTCTCACACGGTAGGCGGCTGTCCACACACTGACTCTGTCCTTTACCTGAAACTCCCACCCTTGTTAGCCCATCCCTGCTTCTGTCTGTCTCCACTGGAGGGTTCATCCTTTATTGTGAGCGAGTGCATGCTGCTGTTGGTGTGTAGGAGCCCCGGAGGTTTGCTGGCTCTGGGTGGTAGGAGCATTGTGCATCCCAGCCGAGCCGAGCTGCACCTTCACCCCACGGCTCAGCTTTATACAGAGACCTCAGTTGTGATGTCCTTTGTGCTGCCGGATGCTGGGTCCCCACCTGGCACTGACAGGTGTTCCCAGAGCGGCCCCCGGCCAGGCTTCCTCATTCCTTTCTGGCCTCAGTGCCCCCCCTCACTTTGGGCTCCCATGAATTGTACTGCTTCCTTGAGTGAACAGAACGTGTGTGCAAAGGGCTGTTTGCTAACAGACTCGAGTTGCACTTTGAGAAGCTGCCTGCCAGGCTTCCTGGTCTGCCACCTTGTCAGGCCCCAAAGATGAAGCATCATCTCCGTGTGGAGCCTCAAGATCACCCAAGAGTGGAGGGAAGAGTTAAGGAGTAAAGGAAAAGACCCAACCCTGAGTGATTGCCCTGTTCGCTGGGTTCCCAGCTCCAGCCAGTTGTCACCAAACACAGATGCACACACCTGGCCAGATGCAGGCCCGCATAACTACCATGGCACCGTCCACGGCAGAGGAGGCACTGCGCTCTCCACTGTGTGAAGGTACTTGCTAACAAAGCCGCACCTGACCTTCAAGACCGCAGTCTCGGGGCTGTTTCCCCTCCAGGTTTGAAAGCTGCAAGCTGATGACACAGTTCAGGGTGGCACTCAGGAACACCAGATGAGCACATTGACAATAAACACCTCCTGCTCTGCGGAGAGGGGTGGTGGAGAGAGCAGGGACTCTTGAGTAGCTGCAGGTAGAGAGCGTGATGCTGGCTCGCTGTGCTCAGAACTGGCACCTGACCCTGACTTCTCCAGAGAGCAAAGTGTGCACCATAGTGATGGGGGAGGCGGTGAGGAGAGGGAGGGAGGGCCAGCCGTGTCTGCGGTCTCTAAGACTTTGGGCCTGGCCTCCCTCTGTCTGATCTTTGGAATTCACTCCATCCCCGTTCTGCACACCCAGGCAACATTCTTGGATTCCAAAGGTTCTTGAAGTGCGGTTGTTGTGGGAAGAGGCCTCTGTCCACTGCTGACCACATTGCCAAGGCGGCTAGGGTTCTGAGGTGAGCCAGCCACTTTCCAGTTTTGGTAAAATTAAACTCCAAGTTGCTTTCCGCATTTGTCAGAACATGACCACAGCTCTCTGTCGGCAAGTCTCCAAAGCTCCTTGAAGACATCTCTGTCTGTCGGTGGCTCATGCTCACAGATGGGCGATGTCAGTCCCGGGCTTAGGAAGAACTTGCTGTGCTGAACCCTGATTTCGAAGGATGGAGGAGGGGGTGGCAGGCTTTGAACTAGCCCCACCCCCTGAGAGAGTAGAAGCCGTCTTCTGGAAAGCTGCAGCCTCTGGACACCCGACACAGACCCAGTTGCAGGAAGAAGATGCAGGCCTCCTGCCCAGAGTGGTGCTGATGCTTTGCAGACACTGGACCTGTGGCCATGCCCTTCCTGACTATATGGCCAGTACAGCAGCCCCCTCCTGCTCGAGACACCAGCTGCTAGGACATAGCAATACCATGGCTCCGTGGTCCCAGAAGAGGCCGGTCTCATGTGTGGAAGAGTAGGATGGCTGGGCCAACAGCAGCTGGCACAGACACAGCTCTTTCAGCTGCCAGACATTGGCCGCCACACCCGTTCACTCCAGTCCTGCTGCACAGAGGAGGGTTCGTGAATGTTTGTCACCGGCTGTTGAATGTTTTATCAAAAACCAAATAGAAGCAACTTACTTATCAGTATGGAATTATGTGTACACAGACGTTCTCCATTCAAAATAACCGAAGCTACCTGCAGTGGAGAAGCAGCTGTGAAACACCAACCTCACCCAGAAATGACTCGAATGTGCAGATCAAGAGAGACAGACCCTCACACACAAAAATCTACTTATTTATTTCCAAACTGTTCTCAGGGGTTGCTTCCTGAAGATGGATCACAGTGGGCCACCACATTCTTCTGTTGTGTAATTTATTCTTATAATTTACTATAAGATACATTATATTTGAAATTAAATGTATCTTTAAAAGTAGACTTGAGAGCAGTCAGAGTAATTGGAAGCCAGGATGCGAAGGCTATGCTTTATCAGAAACAACTTCAGCTCTCAGTGGGAGTGTGTGTGTGGGGGGGGGGGGGGATAACAGAAATAGAAACTTGCTGCCCAGTCCCTATGAAGAGGATGCTCTCATTCACTTGGGGTCTCCTGATCCCCCTAGAAGACAGAACAGAGACACTGGGGCTTGACCTCACAGTGCAGCTCTTGGAGATGTCTTCAGGATACACAGCAGTCTGCAGGCTTTGCTTCAGAGAGAACCCCTCAGAACACAGCGATGGTAGCGCAAGCTCGTGCCATGATTGCTGCTAACGCTGCCGAACCTGCATTTGCTGTGTGGCCGCTCTATCGACTCGCTGGCCACATTAGTGCAGAGCATCTGCTCCCAGATTGCAGCCGGGGGGAGTTTCCCCTTCTCTCCAGCATCTCTGAACACCTCTGAGAACAACTCAAGTGGTCATGGGTTAAGACTCGCCCAACCAGGGCAATAAAGAGAAAAATCAGTCTAATGCATGGTCTTAACAAGAGGGAGTGTGAGCATGAATAATTGATATCACTAGTCTGTGGCAATCAGATAAAATGAAGTCCCATTTGCTCAACCTTATTAAAAGAGAGAGAGTGTGGGAGGGAGGGAGCCATGGTAAAGGTCGTTAAGGGACTTGTAGCGTAGAAGACCTGCCTTCGAGATGGTAATGTGTTTTCCAATCTCTGTGGTCTTTAACTAAACGCAATGGTAAAGGTTCTCTTTGGATAGTTCTGATCCGCTGAATTATTGAACATTTTAGAAATACTTGACTGCTGAGTTAGATGTCTTTGTGATGAATTTGCAGAGTCTTTTTGGCGGGGATTATCTCCCTCCATCACTCAGAAATGATTCATCCACTTGTCAGAAAAGAACTAGAAAAAGAAAATGGAGGCTGCGGCTGACTTGTGTGAGCCTCCACCCGCTGCTGTAGGCAGCTTCCCTGCTGTGTGCACTGGCCAGACAGAGGCCTGCGGATCTGTGGGCCAGCCTGGTCTACAGCGAGTTCCAAGACAGACTCCAAAGCTACACAGAGAAGCCCTATCCCAAAAACCAAAAGAAAATGTTACTTTTTAAAAAGAAATGAATAGCTCTTTTAGAATTGTCACACAGTAGTTGTATTTGTGGCGTAGATAGAGCAGATAGAGCGTAGATAGAGCAGATAGAGCACAGGGCACCTGAGGGTCTGACTGAAGACACTGCTTAGTGCAAGACACACACTGTCCCTCTTTCAGGAGCCACTGTGACAATGTCCAGACCATTTTAGTTATTTTTTAATTGTTTAAAACTTTCTGTCAGGAGCTGGTAATAGCCATGTCTTTAATCCTAGCATGCGGGAGGAAACAGCTGTAAGGGGATGTCTGTGAGTTTGAGGCCACCCTGGTCTATAGAGCGAGTTCCAGGACAGCCAGAGGCACATAGCAAGACCCCCAACTTTCTGTCAGGAACTTTTCATCTTAGCCGCATCTTGGCTCGTGCATTAGGTGTTAAGGTTTTGTGACTTCTGCTGTCTTTCTTGCCGGTATTAGCAATAGTTAACTACTGTGACCATAGTGTTAGACTCCCACAGAGTCTTGAAGGCTTGTGGATTGCAAATGTGTACTGCCCTGAGACTGACTGTTCCCATGGTGGAGATGACTTAACTTGTTAGGAATTTCTCAGGACTGACATAAGAATCTGCACTCAGAAGTGCTAAGGCCTGGGTCAACCAGGAGAGAGAGAGAGCATGCTTTCCATGGGAATGCCAGAGTCGCTCAGCAGAAGTCAGCAGAGGTGCAGTGAGGAGGCCTGGGCCCTATGAAGTTGGGACCAGGGCGATGCACTGTTAACTGAATGCCTTCAGTCGAGCTAATGATTTCCTTCATTAAACACCTGACTCCTTTATTCCCCTTTGCTGGAGAAACAGCACAGGACCTTCCAGGGGGATTGCACTGTCTGGAGCCCACAGGCATCTTCTCACCAAGGGGAGAGTGGGGGAGAAGGTGCCGTTGGACTGTAGCTCAGTGTAGTGTCTGGTGCAGCTTCCCTCAGCCCCTGTAGCTCTTCAGTTAACCCCAGACCAGCAGCTGGTGACCTGTAACCTTTACTCCTGGAAAACAAACAGGAAACTTACGGGGCTAGCGCTCAGTTCAGCTGTGAGGGGAGCAGGCTGCCTAACCCGCAGTTCCTGCGTCTCTGTCTCATGCCTTTGCTTGTGCTGTAGCCAAGGAACTCTTGGTTTCCCTCTCTTGGTCTTTTCTCAGTTGAGTAGCAATGCCCCTCTAGCTTCAGTGGCCTGGAAGTGTCCAAGCCGTTGAGCAGAGCATCTTCTGGGGACAGTGAAATGCTCACTCCTCAATGGTGGCACAGTGGAAAGTGTATGACGTCCCCCTGACTTATGGGACTGACACCCTGTCCCCTTCTCCTCTCAGATCCTGGTGTATAGCCTGGAAGCAGAGCGCTGCCTCTCGAAGCTCGGCAATGCACTTGGTGACTTCACCTGTGTCAACCTCCGGGACAGCCCTCCCAACATCATGGTCAGCGGTAACATGGACAGGAGGTAGGTCTGGTCAGAAGTGACCATCATCTGTGGCCCTGAGCCATGAGTGCCTTGTGCTTCAGCCTTGCCTGCAGCCCCCGCCCCCTCCTTTAGACTTGGAGCCAGGTCCCGCATTAGGTAATAGTTGGGCCTGCTATGCCTCTGCTTTGCTCCTGAAGCTCATAGGAGGGTTGGCTCTCCTTTCAGGCAGTTGGTGGATGGTCCGCCGAGACCACTTGGAATATCTTTTGCCCCCCCCCCAGCTCCCCCCACCCCCGCTGCAGAATTTGTTTGGCACTGAAAAGCTCGCTTTCTGATATTAAAAACAATAACCTAAGGGACGGCTGTGTTCAGCACAATAGAGCCGCCTGCCAAGTGATGCCAAGGGTGTATTGCAGAGCACCGTGTATCCCTCTGGTGACAGGAAAGAGACTTGATGGGGACAGACTCTGGTTTCTATTTAGCTGATTAGTGGCCTTCTCTTTAACACATTGGCTGAGGGAGTTGGTTTTGCTGGTACAGGGGCCAGTGCCAGCCTTCAGCACCGCAGGATTAAGTGTTTGAAAAGACCCTTTCAGTCCAAATTTTAGTTTTTCCCCCTTGTCTTGTCTTCTCCTTTGCTTTCTCTCTGCTTTTTGGCTAGTTACCTGCTGTGTCTGATCCAGTGCCCCAGAGAGAGGTAGACTGGCCGGGGGCCAGGGCTGCTGGCACCCCTCCCCTGGGCCCAGCCCCGGGCTGCAGGTGCGGGGCTGCTCAGCTCTGGGTTTCTTTGTGCCAAATCCCAGAGCTCTGTCCCAGCAGAGTAGCAGCTTGCAAAAATCACTGTTGGATCACATAGTGTTTCCACCCTGAACCTCACCCACTATCCCCACCCCCAACTAGAGCAAAAAGAGCCCCAGAGCATGCTTTGTGGGGAGAAGGCACTCAGTCCGTGTCTCACGGGCTCCTCAGATGACTCAGAATGTGGGGCTCACAAACAGAGCTCTGAGCAGTGTGCTGAGGTCCGGCAGCTGGAAAGGTGGCTTGGTCAGGAAGTGACTGCTGGGAAAACAGGGCCTGGATTTGGATCCCAGAATTCATGTTTTAAAAAAAAAAAAAAAAACGAGGCACGCCTTTTTAATCTCAGTATTTGGGAAGCAGAGGCAGGGGCATCTCTGTGAGTTCGAGCCAGCCTGTTCTACATAGTAAAACCCAGGCCAGCAAAAGCTACATACTGAGACCCTGTCTATAAAGAACAACAACCAAAAAAGGCATGGTCACATTCCTCTGTAACCCTGGCGGAAAGGGGGCACAGGCATGACTGTCCTCAGAGTTCACTGGCCAGCAAGTCAGACAGCTCTGGGTTCAGCCTGTCTCAAAAGATAAGGTAGAGGACAACTGAGGACTTCTCGCATTCACTCTGACTTCCACATGCCCTTGCACACAGTCACATACATGCACACACTGCACACATACATGCCCCTGCACACAGTCACATACATGCACACACTGCACACATACATGCCCCTGCACACAGTCACATACATGCACACACTGCACACATACATGCCCTTGCACACAGTCACATACATGCATACACTGCACACGTACATGCCCTTGCACACAGTGACATACATGCACACACTGCACACGTACATGCCCTTGCACATAGTCACATACATGCACACACCGCACATGTACATGCCCCTGCACACAGTCACATACATGCATACACTGCACACATACATGCCCCTGCACACAGTCACATACATGCATACACTACACACATACATGCCCTTGCATACACACACCAACCACCACCACCTAGGCTTTGCAAGTAGCCCCAGTGTGCGGCCAGGGAAACAAACCACTTCCTGTGAGATAAGCTGACAGTCTCCACTGTTTTCAAGTGGGGCAAATGTCAGGGGACCTCCAGTCCAGGCCTGAGCAGTGGACTCTGCCCAGAGAGTGTGTGAAATGTGAGCTTCTTGGTGCTGGCAGGAACCCAGAGCCCCGCTCCAGAGCAGAGGAGCCCCTCACGTGTGAAGACCTTAGCCCAGAATCTCCAGAGCGTCACAGCCACTGTCAGCTGTCCTCCAGGACACATAGGTATTCTCTGTCAAGCTGACTTTTTCCTCTGGAGTGCACCCACCTCATCATATGCCATGACTAGAGGAGGAGCCTCGTGCCCCATTCACAAGGCCTACTGGTCAGCGTGAAGCCCAAATTTGATTTTTGAGAAATTCGTTTTATTAGAATGTGGCAGAATTAAGTTTTTTAAATAAAGCAGGGAGGTTCCAGGATTCTCAGTATCAGTCACTAGATAACAGGCAGGAACAGGACCCCTCAGTGTTAGAGCCCTACCTGCTCCAGGCCAGGGCTTGTGTCTGCAGTGAGGACTTACAACGCCAAGACTCCTTGCCTCATTTAAGAGTCCAGACACCTGGGAACGTCCTTTGTTCAGCTACGTTCTGTGAAAGAATTGAAACATTTTAAAGCCCCTATGGATAAGTTTTCTCGCACATGCAGGCCATCTCCTGCCCAGTGGACACACTGTCCCCCAACCTAAGCCATTAGCCTGCTCATTTCTCCCTAGGAGATGGAAAGTTTGAAAGCTCATTAGTTCCAGGGAAGTGGTCACAGCCTCCTGCCTCAGCCTACAGTTCTGTTGCTGAGAACCCCGTGAGTGAAGGAAAGCTTGTAGCTGGTGGCACAGGGCTGCGTTCAGTGAGGTGCCCCCCCCCAGTGTGTCTCAACAATGAAGCTCCGGGTCTGCCCCAGAGAGCCAGGCCCACAGTCAGTGCTGGGGTGAGGCAGCTGTCAACTCTGTCACCCCACACCCAGACATAGCTTACTTTGTAATATGTGTGTGTTGTGTATGTGCACATGTTTTTGTATGTGTACACATCCATGTGTGGGTATGTGCACATTACAGCACATGTGTGACAATCAGGACAAACACTGTCTTCTGCACTTGCTTCTCCCATGTTGGTTATGCCCAGGAGCTTCTGGGGACTGTACTGTCCCTACCTGTCATCTCGCCTTAGGAGAGCTGGGTTGCAGACATGTGATGCTGTGTTCAGCTTCACCTGGGCCTTGGGGACCCAAACTTAGGTCCTTATTGTCTGCCGGGCATTTTACCCACAAAGCCCCCTCCCCAACACAAATTCATTTTTAGAACCGATCCCTTGAGGTAGGATTCACGTGCCATGTGACCACCAACTTAAATTCACAGTCAATTTCAGGACAGTACCCCAGAGAGAAGACACACACCGTGAGCGGTCAGTGTTTGCAAAAATGGTTGACGTGGCCTTTTTAACTTATTCCTAGTCTGATGTTTTCAAGGTTCGTCCATATTGTAGCTTATATCCAAACACCATCTACTCCATCACTGGACAGACCACACTGTGTCCATCTCCTTCGCCCTGTGGACATCGGGGTGGGTGGTTTTATCAATCAAACCTCTTAGTAGCTTTGACCTTTATCATAATTCCTGTGTAAGTTTTTTGAGTATCTTCAATCTCTTGGCTGTAGACACCTAGAAATTGACTTGCTGGCTTCAGTGGTAATCACCACGCTCTGCTCTAGTGACTGCTCTTCCAGCCTGCCCTAGCGCTGGGAATCTTCCTCAGTTTGTGTGGCAGTCCGCCCACCTGGTTTGTGAGGTGTCACTGTGTGCTGTTGTCTAGGGACCCGCCCATGCCTGTGGTATGGTCTGTCTTCGCACCCTCCCGGAGACTTCGCTACCCAAGTCCTGGTTTGAGCAGCTTCACTGTGTAGTGATCGGCTAGCACTTGTGTGTAGACACGGGCAGTCCCGTGTCTACTGCTGAGTTCTGGGATTGCAGGCATGAGCTACACACTCAGACTCAAATCCTGTTTTTAAGTGAGGTTTTTATTGTTGAGTTGTTTTTTCCACTTTCCTGGGTGTCAGTCCCTTGTCAGATCTGCCATTTGCAATATTCCCTCCTCTTGTGTCAGCTGTGTTCACTTGTCGACAATGGTCTTTGCAGTATGGGCTTCAAATATTGATGGAGTGTGATTTAGTTTTTCTCTCATTGCTTGTGTTATCACTTATTTTAAAAAGTGTCTCCTACTCCACGGTTATTGGTGATTAATCAGTCTGCCTTCTGGTTTAAGGTCTTACATTTGAAATGCATGATTTTGGATGCGGTGTGCAGTCTGTCCTTAGTTGTCTCAGCACTGTTTGTTGACAAGATTGTTCTTTCTACTTGAGAAAATTAGTTCACCATAGAAATCGAGTGTGTTCTGACCCTGCCTGCCCTTTTGATCTGTGTCGCCAGCGCCTGGCTGGACTTTCCTGCATCTTTTGGTCAGGATGCACTAGGTAGAGTTAGCACCTTCCAATTGCCAGGCTTGCTAAACAACCATTGTAGGTGAAGGGAGAGTATCTGTGTTGGAGTTGTGTCTGGTGGTGTACCTCCTGGGAGGCTGAAGCACAAGTCTCAGGACTGCTTGGCCTATGTAGTGAGGCTCTTTATTTAAAAAAAAAAAAAAGGGGAGGGGGAGCGAGTCAGAAAGATGGCTCAACTATTAGAGCATGTACTGCCCTTGCAGAGAATCTGAGTTCGATTCTCAGTAGCCACACCAGGTGACTCACAACACCTGTATCTCTAGCTGAGGGGACCAGATGCCCTCTTCTGGACTCTGTGGGCACTGCACCCACACATGCAAATACGCACATACGCGCGCGCACACACAGGCACACACACACACACACACACACACACACACACTCACACACACACTTTAAAAACAAAATCTTAGAGCCAGACAGTAGTGGAACACACCTTTAATCCCAGTACTTGGGAGGCAGAGGCAGGCAGATCTGTTTATGAGTTTGAGGCCAGTCTGATCTACAGAGTGAGTTTCAGGACAGTCAGAGCAACATTTAAAGTTATTGTGTGCATAATGATGGGGTTATACATGCCATAGCATGCATTTGGGGGTCCAGGGACAGCTGTGGGGTGGGTTCTCTCCGTCCACCTTCACCAAGATTCTAAGGGTGATGTTCAGGTCACTAGGCTTGCTGTGAGCATTCACCTGCTGAGCCAGCCTGCTGTCACTCACTCAGTCTCAGAATGAAAACTATTAGGAAAAGCGTCTGTACTTCCGGCTTTATTGCTTTGGCTGTCACTGCTGTCCCAGGCTGGCTTTTGTGTGCTGCAGAGCACAGGGCTCAGAAGATTCCTTGAGGACTCAGGTGCTGAAAGCTCCGGGGTTGTCCCTAAAGGGGTTGGGGCTTCTATTTCATGTAGAAACCTCACAATGCAGTGATGTTGCTTGGCTCAAAGCATGCTAAGCCCAGCTGGACAAAGCTGGGTATGCCGTCCATCTGAAAATCTGAAGTGTTTCCAATTACTATTAAGATGCACATTCTCAGAACAGCTTTGGTGCTGTGGGGGTGAGGCTGAGATTCTACATATGAGCCTATGTACAGCCTTCGTCCACAGCTCAGGTACAGCGAGGTCAGACAGACGTGTGCACTAACCTTCTAGAAATACCAGTTTTCCCAACTTAGTCATAATTTTAAAAAGCTTATGTGTCAATGATTTCCATACACTTACCTTTAGTTTCTGGATCTAACTGTAGCCAAGGTTGTGTTCTTCCTGAAGAACGGCCAGCCCACAATCTGAGCACTGCCAGCTTTGCCTTGTTATCATACAGGACTGTTGAGTCCAAACCACTAGGAAGCACGCCCCAAGGTGTGACCCCCCAATTAAAGAGTCCTCTCGCTTCCTTCCTGCCCAGCACATAGAAGGTTGTGGTGCGCTCGTGTGTGGGGCCTGCTGCCAGAGGCGTGCAGGGTGCGAACATTACGCTCACTCCATCTGCAAGTGTTATAATGAGTTATTCAAAGCGCTTCACACAGGACCAACCAGAGCGTGCCTCCCTCTCCGTTCCAGCGCGTTTTCCTGCCCATCACATGGATGCTCCTCTGCTGGAGTCTTTGGAAGGTTCTGGTGTCTTTTGTTTTAATTGGCGGGCTAAAGCTGCCTCCTATGGTGCGGATTTCATTAGTGAAGGCTGCAGAGAGGGAGTGTTGGGGCTGTCCTCCAAGCCCATCCATGAATATTAAACATAAGACAATTATAGCTTTCAGACCAATTATTTTTCTTTCAGCAGGCAAAGTTGTGATACTCACTAGATGAGGAGCCGCAGTTTCTACCATTGGCCCCTTCTTGTCCCTGGAATCGGTCAGCCTGGCATGTCTCTGCCCATTTGCTGGGCTACCTGTTTCCCAGTGTGGAGTGAGCAATTTGAGTGCTGAGGCTGCCGGCTCTGCCAGGGCATGCTGCATTCAGGGTTGGTACTGCACAGTGTCAGGTGCTCTGGACTAGATACCTGCTTCCTAATGTGAATTTGATGGCTTGGGTGAACAGGACAATGCAATTCTGTCTGAGACAGGAAGCCAGAGGTCTCCTTAAGATGTCAGAAAACTGTTTCCCTAGTGAGTGTGAGCTTTTCTCTCTCTGCTGTTTGTTGTCTTCATTTGGCACCATTGTGCCGCTGTCTAAACACAGTAGAGAAACAGACGGCAAACTTTGAACTACTGGACTAAACACGTTTGCCCGTGTGTCTTTAGCAGCCACACTGTAAACAGAAGGGCTCTTGATAGACCTGACTAGCCAGCATGCACTCCACCCCCATCTGGTTCAAGTGCCCCTGCTGGGCTCCAGCCTGAGGCTCCTTCCTGGGTGCCCAGCAGCCTTGGGTCTCTTGGCCTTCAGAGGCCCAAAGCCAGGCAGCTGTGCGCGCCTAGAAGGCGCCCCCTCTGGAGACTGGGAAGGAGTGGCACTTAGCCATAGGCCTGCACTGCCATCTTGCCGTGTGGCCTTGATTCTGCATCCCAAGACTGTGATTGTCTGTCTGGTTTGTTGCTTTGTTGATGGTGATAGTGTGTTTTTACGCCAGGTTTTCATGTACCCCAGGCTGGTCTTGAACTTGTGTTGTGGTAGCCAAGGATGGCCTTGATCTCTTGGCCCTTCTGCCTTTACCTCTCTGGTGCTAGGATTTCAGACTGTACCACAATGCTCAACCTCTGTTGTCCCACATTATACCCACTCACACTAGCTAAGGAACAGGTTAGCCATCTGTGCACGCCAGGCCTGTGCACTTGTGCACACCAGGGTGGAATGGACACCCTCTGAGGCCCGAGTTTTAAACAGCATTGTCGTGTCTGCAATAAAGCAAAAAGCCTCCCTTGAGCCTCTGGCTGCATCCTTACCTCTCCTCCCAAGGAGCTGCTGTTAGCATTTGACTTCTGAACCGGGCTTATGTTGTCCCTGAAAGCAGGAGCACGAGGGGCCTCCGTGCAGCCCCTGACAGCTGCCTGTCCCTCGTGGTTGCCCGAAGTGACGCACACTGACTTACGCCATCCCCATGCAGTCATTCAGATTCATGGCATGTCTAATGATCGCTCTGAACAGGCACCTCCTCCTCCCCAGGCTACAGAAGACCTGCTCCCATGCTCCCATTTTAAAATGAGTTTAGTGTGGTCGGTGCTCACTGGCACTAACCCCAGGGCATTACAGCCCGCTTTCCTCCAGGACCTCCTTAGGCGTGATGCCCCTGCGCTCTGCGGCTCTCGCTGCTCCTGCCTGCTCCCTTCTCATGGAGCTCGTGTTCAGGGTCTGGTAGATGAATGGAAGTTTTAAAGCAGTGTGCACTGAGGGCCGCAGCCTCACCCCTCCCTCCCACAGCGGCTAAGCTCCTGACTCTGCAGGGCAGTGGAGAGGCGGCTTCCCCTGAGGCCCCCCGCAGAGAGCTGTGGTTTTCACACAGTAGGTGGTGAGGGGTGGGACACTGCCCAAGCTGTCTGAAACCAAGGCCCTGACCCTGTTGTGTGCTGCGGGTCAGAGAGTCCCTGCTTGGGGCGGGCCCGAAAGAGCGAGTTTTCCTTACTGTTTTAGTTATGTTTTCTCATTTTGTGACAAAAACGAGTTTATTTTGGGTTTAGGGTTGAAAGTATGGTCCATCAAGGTGGAGAGTCATGGCAGCCTGCATGTGGCCACTCTCTGGAAACACCCCAGCAGGAGTGCCTTGTAAGCCATTCCAGCGTAGCCTCGCTGGGGTACTCCAGCCATGAGTCTCACAAGCAGCCACGGCCTGAGTAACAGGGTCTCTTTGCTGAAGAGACATGATAAAGGAGCAGCATCCAGTTTTATTTCTTACTACAGCAGCCTTGGACATGTGCTCAGCAGGCACTCCTTGAGGGAAGTTGTTCTCGCCTTTTCTCTTACTGTGAGCCGTGGGTCTTCACTGTTAACTTGGAGGAACCGGAACCGGTTCTGAGGGGCCCTCTGCTCTAGACTAACATACATTAGCTGAAATACTTGTATAATCTTTTCAGCTCAAACTCTCAGCAGCCCTGCCTGCCTCAGCTGCCTAAGTAAACCCAGAAATTTCCCTGGGTTAGGCACAAGCTCTACCACATTCCAGGCACATATTTATTTGACACAGAATATGACTAAGCTGTTGAGGGTGGAGGGGAACTTCCAATCCTCCTGCCTCAGCCTCTTGGGGAGCCACTGTTACATGCAACTCAGCATGCTGACATTACCTGCTCCCATAAAACTGAAATCTATTTAAGATGGGGTGGTGCACACGGAGGCTGGAAGAGAGCACGGGGATCCTCTCTAAGAGCAATCCGTGCTTTTAACTGTGGAGTCGTCTCTCCAGCCCCTTGACTGTGTTTCTTACAATTAGTGGTTGTTTATGAAAAATGTAGCTGTGGGGGACTGGAGAGATGGCTCAGCAGCTAAGAGCACAAGCTGTTCTTCAGAGGACCCAGGTCCAATTTCCAGCACCCACATGGCGACTAGCAACCAAAACTCCAGTTCTGGAGGATGTGGTGGCTTTCTGCAGGCACCGCACACGTGCTTCACCCCTACATACAACCATAATTTTTAATGTAGTTGTTGTGGTGGGCAGATTGCTGTGGATAAATTGCTCTGTGCTTACATACAGTGTTTCTAACAATGGGCAGGAGCGGTGTGATGGTGCCCGGCTGTTTGGAGGCATCTGTTAGCGCAGGGGGCTTGCCTCAGTCCCCGTGGAGCTGACTGCAGGCTTGCTTCTGTGTACAGTGCACTGTAGCTGAGCTAGTCTCCAGGGGCAGGCATCCCGGGGGGCTCAAGGTTGTGTGCCTGGTGTTGGCTGTGCCCACAGCCTCTCTCTCTCCAGTCTTGCCTGTCAGAGTCGTGGAGGCAGCTGCCCCTTACACTTCTGGCCAGCCCTTCCTTGCCTGTTAATCTATGTGGTGTTTCTGTTCTTTCCTACAAAGTCACTTATTGAACTCAAACAAAAGCTGGAGGTTATAGAGCCCAGGGAAGCAGAATTTTGAAATCCATAAAACACCCTGTGTTTAAAAGGGAAGTTAGGTACTTACCAAACATTTACTAAAACTTGCTCCAAAATCCAACTCTTCTTGAGCAGAACTGCAGTATCCATCTCCGTTCTCTGCACACGTGTAAGGTCTCAGCCGTGACGGTCCCTTGTACACCTGGGGTCTACACACTAACAGGCAGGTGTTTACTTTGAGCAAAAGGCAAGTTTCCATGATGCCCTTCAGGCCTGGGGAGTGAGGCAGCCATGGTCTTGAGTAATTAAAATAATCCCCAGGACCCTGGAAGCAGTGAGTGTGTGTACCGTGTGGGTTAAGTTTGGGACAGCACATGCTCTTTCTGCCTTGCCGGGGCTTTGGTCACGGTTGTCCAGCATAAGACAAAGTGTCTGTCCTACCGTAGATGTTCAGCCCCACAGGGGAGTCCCATGGGAATATGCTACAGGGGCCACACAGCCGAAGCTGGGGCCGCAGGGTTCCTTACTAAACCCTCTCCTCCTGGTGTTCTTGCATCTTCCAGAGTCCGTCTCCATGACCTCCGCAGCGACAAAATCGCCCTGTCACTGTCTGCCCATCAGCTGGGGGTTTCTGCAGTTCAGATGGATGACTGGAAGATTGTCAGTGGAGGAGAGGAGGGGCTGGTGTGTGTGTGGGATTACCGCATGAACCAGAAGCTGTGGGAGGTACACTCCAGGTGAGCTGTCCCGCTGTGTGCGGCCTGCAGGGGGTGCACTCCAGGTGAGCTGTCCCGCTGTGTGCGGCCTGCAGGGGGTGCACTCCAGGTGAGCTGTCCCGCTGTGTGCGGCCTGTAGGGGGTGCACTCCAGGTGAGCTGTCCCGCTGTGTGCGGCCTGTAGGGGGTGCACTCCAGGTGAGCTGTCCCGCTGTGTGCGGCCTGCAGGGGGTGCACTCCAGGTGAGCTGTCCCGCTGTGTGCGGCCTGCAGGGGGTGCACTCCAGGTGAGCTGTCCCGCTGTGTGCGGCCTGCAGGGGGTGCACTCCAGGTGAGCTGTCCCGCTGTGTGCGGCCTGTAGGGGGTGCACTCCAGGTGAGCTGTCGGCCCCTGCTGTGTGTGTATATGAGTGGCCGGGGTTGCTGGAGGGGTTCCCAGGCCCTCTGTGCCCATGATGCCACCTTCCTGAAAGCAACTTTGAAGGAGAGGAGACCTAGGCTTAGAAAAACCAATCGTGAGACTTCAGCTCCTGTCTCTTCCCCCATTAATAGTGCCCTGAATAATACTCGGCCTTTGTCCTGGATTCTCAGGGTGGAGTGAACTTTTTACAACTATGCTGATCATTGTGGATTCTTTCATCTTAATTGCCAGGAAAAGGAGGAATCCAGCTTGGTGAGACTAACTTCCAGTGTGCAGATGGATGGGTTGGCACAGGTCCCCCATGGGCCAGACTCAGTGTGTCCAAGTGTGTGGTTTGCACCTTCATTCGCTATGAAGAAGGGTATGTAGTGTGCCAGCTAAGGGGAGCACATCTAGCCTTGAGCAGGAGAGTTTCAGTGATGGGTGCCTACGGGTAGAATTGTTCATGTGAGCTTGCCTCAGCTCTGAATTTAGAAGCAGCCTGGAATTGCTACCAGCTCCGCTGCTTTCAGTAAGGTGAGCCTTCCCCAGAGTCCTGTCACATCCTGTCTGTAGGAGAGCCTGCTCTGAATCCTGTCACACTGAGCTTTGGCCCCTCTGTAAAGAGAGAGTGTGGTCTGTGGAGGTGGCCAGCGCAAGACCCTGACAGATGTATCTCTCCACCCCAGATGCAAACTCAAGACAGCTCTGCCTTCAAGTGTAGGGTTGATGGCTTTGCAAGCATTCCCAAAGGTAGCAAAGTGAAATGTTTCTTGGCATGCAGGGTGTTGAATACTTTGGCTGACAGCTTTTATGGGACCAGAATCCCAGGGGTCTCACACTGCCTCTGCCCTTATCCTTCCTTAACTTCCATGGTGATGCACCATGGTGCCACCAGGTGGCGCCAAAGGGCAGCTCAAACTTTCACACTAGACTACAGCAGCATTTGCCCAAATTTCAGGAAAGCCAGTATTTGTAAAGAGTATTCTCTGCACCTCCAGAACAATTGATGTCTTTTCTGGGCTTCTCCAGTGGCTCAGGCAGGCTACCCACACCCAACAGCTCTTTTCCCCACTCGAGAGAAGCCCAGGAAGTGAGGTCTTCTCTTGTAAGTGCCCTGGCTGTATTCCAGCTACTGTCTGCCCACCCATCCTCAGCCTGCCTTCCCTCACCCAGTCCCTTCTCTTTATGCACTCCCCATTGTCCTCCAGCCAGAAAGGCCTGTTCCTGCCGCGGGCTTCCTCCCTGCTGGCCTCAGGCAGCCCCAAACTCCTTCCTACTGAGCTGAGGTGGGCACCTTACCTTCTGGCTGGTTTGCAACCTCTGAGGGCCAGAGACTTGTCTGTTGTCCCCCGCTCACAGCATGGCTGTCGGTTGTAGCTGTCACTTCAGGACTGAGGCCTCACTCAGGAGGCTGGTTGAGTCTCTGTGCCATGTGCAGGTTTGTCTCAACCTGAACCACCTTATATCCCAGTGCACCAACTTGTTGAAGAGTGTGCTGGAATGTGTAAGGGTCTGAGGAGGGCCTTGCTTGTGCCCCGGTTCCTTCTCCAGAGTGGAAGGATGCCTAGAGTTCCTCTGTGCACAGCTACTTACAGTTCCTTCCCCTCTGCTCCAGGCACCCTGTGCGCTACATCTCCTTCAATAGCCACAGCCTCATCACCGCCAACGTGCCCTACGAGAAGGTGGTGCGGAACGCTGACCTGGACAACTTTGCCTGTCACAGGAGGTCAGTGAAGGGTGGGGCACATCCTGAGACATGCTTGGTGTGGTTTCCTCAGTAGCCCCCGCCCCCATCCCGTGCTCCTGTCAGGGTGCCAACCATGGGAACACAGTGCTGCTACAGACCTGAAGCGGGTACTGGGTGTCTGCCTGGGACACCCCGCAGCTGCTCCTGGCAGCTGGGACAGAGCAGGGGCACAGTGAGGCTGGGCCTCAGTGTCTACATACCTGACATTGTGGGCTCAAATCACACACTGTGTCAGGGTGGAGGAAGGAGGGCCAGCCCAGACTGTGCATGCCTCTTGCCACAGCAGCCTCGCTGACCCGTGCTTATCTGTGCTCCCTCTAGACATCGTGGCCTGATCCATGCCTATGAGTTTGCAGTGGACCAGCTGGCCTTCCAGAGCGCTCTTCCTGTCTGCCGCTTACCCTATGACACCATGGCTGGGTACAGCTATGACCTAGCACTGTCTTTCCCCTAGGACAGTGTCTAGGGCGTCACCTCATGGAGAAGTTTTACAAATTCTCATGGCCAGTTTTACAAATGTTAGAACTATAGGGAAGCTGCAGCACAGAGTGGAAGTTTGGGGACAGTGCCCCCCCCCACCCAGGTGGCCTATGGCCACATAGCCTTGCTGCCTCTGGTGCCACTTATACAGAGTCTGCTCCCACCCTAGGGCTTTGGGAGCCATGCGGATGACTCTGAATTAGCCTTTCCCAAAGCACTCCTCCACCGCAGCCTGTGACAGGAGGGAGACCCCTCCCTCCAGCACACGCTAGTCTCCTGTGTGTGGTGCTGAGGATGGAGTCCGAGCGCCCGGCCTCCTGTCCCCACACCTGTCCAGCCCCTTACCTGTGAGGACCTTTTCACTTGCTCTGTCCAGGAAGGGGCCACTCCGTGGGGTTCCTGAGCCTGGCTGGTGGCATTTCTTCCCCCAGCAGCCTCAGTCAGTGCTCTTGAGACACACTCGGCCTGCAGGATGGCAGGGCAGCTCCACACCCAGGGGCCCGGAGACCCAGTCAGTGAGAACATTTGAGCACAGACACTCGGAGCTCTGCAGAATTCCTGTAGACCAGGCACCTAACACCTGGACAGAGACCAGCACACTCCACAGTGGGTCTGCAGAGGACTCAAGTGTGGTTGGGGGGAGCCACCAAGGTGGCTAAATTTTCTTTAAGAAGGTGCTAGAGGGTTGAGAGGGCTTCCACCTTCAGCGGGAGGGAGTCAGAGCCACCTGGGAGCAGCATCTGCCCCTCCACAGCCACACAGGGTCTCTGTTTCCCAGTGCTGGGGATGGAACCCGGCTGGGGCCTCACGTCTGTGCCCGGCAAGTGCTCTGCCACGGAGACACCTGCTGTTGAGGCATGCAGGGTTCTCAGCTGGAGACATTCAGAGAGCTCAGACGTCCGTCCCGCTGTCTAGCAGTATGGGTGGGCACACAGAGCCAGCTGAGACTGAGCAAGGCCTGTAGGCCCCTCCCTCCCAGAGTGCCGGCGGGTGCCAGCTCACCTCCCTCATGCTGCGCTGATGGCCCCTGCTGGCCCGGCTTTGCCAGGCCGGCAGCCGGGCCACAGGGGAAATGTAACTTCGTGGTCAGCACCATGAAAGAAAGGCCATGGAAGAGCTTTGAGAGCAGTGGCAGAGGTGACAGGAATGAAGACAGATAGGGCAGCTTCAAGCACACCCTGCCCCCGCCCCCGCCCCCCTAGGAAAAGCACCTGGGCTTCTTGGAGACACAGTTTGTCACACCGTAGCAAAGCTTCCCAGAGATCTGTCCCCATGGACTTCTGGGGTTGCTGCCGCTTGCACCTGCTAGCAGGGTGGGGGACAAGTGGCCTCCCTTAGCTGCCGGGGAACCAGAGGGGACACATACCCCCAGCTTCCCTTTTGCCTTACGCGGCCATGTCTGCTCTGTTATTAAAGGTTCTGGACTCGCTCGTGGCCTTGTTCTCTGCTCTGGCTGCCTTGAAATTTTTCTCCACCATTTCTAGCCCTGGTTTATCACCACAGCTGGGGGCGGGGCAACATGACAGCACACAGGGCAGGCTCTGGGCCAGTGTGGTCATCTTTGGCTGGGCTTACTGCTGCTGTACTGGACTGGTTGTCTATGCAGACCATGAGCACTCAGCCTTGCTTCTCCTGAAGCCCAGACAACAGTTCCCATGGAAAGATGGTCTCTGGTTTCAGCTGAGCAACAATTACCAAGCTTTCCCAGCAGTGGGGTTTCCATTCTTCCTGAACTGGAAAGCCCAGACAACCCCAGGACGAAGGCTCACAGCCCCTCCAGGAGAGAGAGGGTGGCGCCCCAGTCTGCTTGTTAAATGGCAACAGCAGCACCACAAGTTGAGGGCCACCTCCCCTAGTGGGGGCTTTCAGGTGGTAGCGGCTCAGACGGGCCCTGCTCCTCCCGAGCGCTTGCTTGAAGCAGCAGATGGCATGGGTCATGCGTTGTGGCCACACATCCAGGCCAGATGGTTACCTGGCTACTGTGGCAGGCCTGCGGCGACTTGGCCAGCATAGCCTGTGTGTGCTGTGGCAGATTCCCTCCTGGGCACCGGCCTGCGTTCAGCCTCTGATGCTGCTTTGTGTTAGGGAACTTCACCCTGGAAGAGGAAAGATCTCCAGCTGTGCCCAGCTGTCACAGCTACCCTTCCCATGACACCCCTCACCCTCACTACCGTTGGAGTGCCACCATTTGCTTGTGAAGACAAGCCTGCCTCTTGCTGGCTTGGTGTCAGTGTTACCAACCTGCCCTGGCTGGAGTTCTGAGCCCCCCTTTGGCTGCGTTCCTGCACCAAGTCCTGTTGGCATTTAGCCAGCCCATGGCAGAGGCGGACAAAGGTGTTGCTAATGCCATGGAAAGTGGCCTGGTTCCAGCCCTGACTCTTCAAGGTCACGGCCTGCAAGGACAGCCTATATGGCAGGTGTTTGCCAAACCTCAAGGTGACTTGCATTTCTGCCTCTCCATCCGCCCAGTTGGGCCCCTTCCAGCACAGCAGCCCTTGGCCTGGTCAACTGCAGGCAGGTAGGGACAGGGCCCAGGGCCAGGCTCAGCAATCAGCTCTCTGCCGTGAGCACAGCCCACGTGTGTGGGAACCAGAGCCTGGTGGTTTTGTTCAAGTGTGAAGAACCTGCTCCCCCCTCTCCACTAAAGGGTCAGTGTTCTGGAAGCTCCACCTTAATACACCTCCCTCCATGGTATTTAAATTGCCCCCCAAAAAGCAGACACAAGTTTTTTTGGTCACTGTTGGGGAGGGGCAGAAAATCATCCAGGAACATTTTACCCATTAAAAGCTTCTTCTAATTGTTGATTTGGATTGCTGTGACAGCGGAGAGGCTTACGGGATGCAGAAGCTTTCCAGTCTGCACTGCAGGCTGCTCTGGCCTCACTGCCCCTTCCCCATAGTTCATTTGTCACGAGGCTGCAGTGTTCATAGACACATTTCTGTGAGGTTTGCATCACAGACCTCTGGGAAACTTAGATTAAACATTTGCCTCATACCAAATTCAAAAAAAAAAAAAAATTTTTTTATAAGCTTGTTATCCCTCCACTCAGGAGGCTGAGGCAGGAGGATTTTAAGTTTGAGGCCCCCTCTAGAAACAGAAACCAAAGTTGGTAACAGCAATAATAGAAGGCTAGATCTCACTTGACTGCTGTAGAATAGAGAGCACACCTTCACACCCAGCTCCTGGACCTTCTCCACCCACAGCCCTTGGGCCTCACAGCCCCTGCTCAATCAGCACCCTCAAACAGGCTCCATCCGGTTAGTCAAGAGTTTTGGATGAAGATCACTAACCAGTATGCTGGATGGATTGCACACTCACCTGTCCGAAGATAAATGTCAGCACACAAGCTGCTTCACTGCTGGTTGAGGTTCCTCATCTGGCTCATGTCCCCAAACAGAGACTGGAGGCCCTGGCTGCCCTGGGGCATAGCACCCTGGGCAGTCCTGCGGGTAAAAATACATCAGCTTCCTCCCTGACCTGCAGAGCACACAGCTGCCCCTGTTGCTCCAAGGCCAGAAGCTCCAGGAGATACCAACGAATTAGCCTGCACTCACTCCCTGGAGCAGGTTTGTTCATGGTTCTTATCCTGCCTGGCTGACTCAGAGCATGCCGGTAGCCGAGTGGTAGTAGTACTCCAGGTAAGTTCTGCAGTGGGAATCAGGCCCAGCCTAGCCTGGTCCCAGCGATTGTGAACAAATGAGCTTGCTTCTGTGCCTGGAGAACTGTGCTCCCAGTGAGTCAATCTCATTTTAATTAGCTGTTTGGATTAGCCATGCCCAGGGCTTCAAAGACATTAGCAGGCCCTCAGCGGGCAGCACACGCAAGCAAGCGCAAGCACGCTTGATGTGCGTCCATCACAGCCGCTTCTTCCCAACTAGAACTCCAGGCGAGGGCCGAGGGAAGGCAGTCCATTATTTATGAAGACATTGTACATTCATGAACTGCCTTTGTTGAGAAAGACATACAACTGAAACAAATTGGGAGAGTCTCGGGAAACCAAGGCCTGTGAGATGCCAAGGTGATGGCTGCCCTGGGAGCCAAGTTACAGATGCTCCATGTGTCATGTCCCCAGGCTGACCTGCTGGCTTTCTAGAAACCTAGAACCAGCAACCAGGAGGCCCCTGCGTTGGGGGTGGGGTAGGGGCATGGTTGTAGGGTTCTCCCTGACGCTGACAGGGTCTGCTTGGCTCTGAGCAGAGAGGCTGGAGCCCCTCCATCTGCTCCTGCCTGCTGCTTTGTCAGGCCCTAGCCAGACAGAGACCTGTGTTCAGAGGCACAGCCCTGGCAGTGCCCTTCGGACCTCTGTCTTCGCCAGCCCAGAGATGAGCAGGTGGTGATAGGTGGCCCTGTGGTCCAGCATCAGTCACAGACCCAACTCACTCAGGCCAGCCCTGCCTGCCAAGCACTTGCTCAGAGCACCTGCAGACCCCTCAGCTCCTCACTTACCTATGTGATCCAATGTAGCAACCAAACTAGCCAACCCCTATGCATGCACATGCACACACACGCTCCCCCAACCCCCGCAGCCCTAACACACTCCCCTGAGCATAGTCTCTACATGCCCCTCAAATTGATCGGTGTTTTGCTTTTAGACATCAAATCTAACTTGACTAATTTGAACCTCATCCTCAGCAGTAGCCTGGGACTCCTTTATGTGTCATTGAGTTACCCCCCACCCACCCACCGTACATGTTAAGTAGGAGAACACTTGTTGCGAAGACTAATCCACCACTCAGAACAACCTCAGACAGCTCACTCAGGGACAGCAGCGTGAAGAGATCTATAGAAGAAGCCACTCAATCTGGCACATCACCATGGAGACACAGCCTGCCATCAGCCATGACAAGTGCCCACAGGCAGAGAGTAAGCTGCTGGGATTTGTTCAGGCATGAGTCACTGTCCCCTGGGCAGCAGCAGGATAGTTGTACTAGTAACGACACCATTTTTCACCAAGCCAACAGAGCTAAAATGCGTGCACCAGGCCAGCAGGATGGCACGGGCTGCAAGAGCTAGTGGCTTGAGCTTGATCCCCAGAACCAATGTTAAAAAAATAATAATAAAATAAAGACGGATGCAGGGCCAAAAAGACAGCTCAGGTCCCAGCACATAAGGCAGCTCATGACAGCCGAGAACTCCAGCTCCCAGGGCATCTGGCTGATGCGCTCAGCTTGGAGCACCCACACTCATGTACAAACTCAATGGGCATATACACTTTCTTTAAAAAACAAAAAAGCTGAACGTGGTGGCCCACTCTGTCATCCCAGTCCTCGTGTGGAATGGGGGGCGGGAATGGAACAGTTGCCCAGCGTCCTGGGAGCCATCTGGTCTGGGGTCCACAGCAGATTGGGAGAGAGAGGCCCTGCCTCAGCATGGTGGAAGGCAAGAACTAACTCCCCAAAGCTGTCCTCTGATCTACACATACACACCAACACCATGGACACTTGTGCCATCGTGAGAACCGGAGTGTACATCTTGGTACCCACATAATAAGCCAGGCGCTCGCTCTTCCTGCACCTCTGACTCCAGCTCCACTTTTAGCTAACATGCACTGGCATGTGCCTGCGGGCGTGTGTGTGTGTGTGTGTGTGTGCGCACGCGTGTGTGTGTGCGCGTGCACATGCACACACACACTCCAATAACAAATGTACAGAAAAACAAAAACATCTGAAGCCACATCCACCTACACATGCATGATGAGGGTGTAGAAGAGAAACAGCAGGGGAGGGAAGGGGGCTCCTTTGCCCCTTCAGGCCTAGGACTACACAAACAAGATTGAGAGAGAATGCTCACTCTTGAGACTGCTGCAACAGCAGCAGGTGTCAGCCTCCTGGAGAACTGCCTGGAATCTAGAACGCCACCTCCCAGTGTCAACAGAGGGAACGAACCATCCTGAAACAGACCGACCCGGAGAGCAAACACCAGCCAGCCACGTGTGCACCATGAGAGCAGCAGCCAGGACAGCAGTCACAGGTGGTCTCACCATCCGGCTACTGGCCCCACCCCCGCCCCACCTGTCCTGAAATGAGAGGTGACAAACAGCTGTCTGAGCTCCTCACCTGCAGTTGGCACCTTAGGTCTTCACTGCTGCCTATGCTGGGAACTGGCGTGTCCCGGGCTTGCAGCTGGATCCATGGTCTCCGGAGGAGGGACTGTGGCATCCCCGGCTACAGGTATCCATCAGGAGGTGGCGTCGGCAGCCAGCCATGATGGCCCAGGCCGTCTGGAAGCCTGCCCAGAAAGGCAGGCTCTTCCAGGCTTCCCCTGGGTGGGGACCGCAGGAGGATGCCTGATCCTTGAAAGGGAGAACAGATCGCCACAAGGACTGACAGACAGGACATCCGTCAGCCCTTCCTCACCAATCTCTGCCCACTCCTTGGAATCAGCCTCACATCACCGAGACCCGGGTTCCTTTAAGGGGTGTGACAGCAG